GTGCTTTTTTTGTAATTTACATTTGAGTCTTTCAGTTTTATAGTTATGAAATTTTGCATTATTTTACGTTCATTTATTTTCCTGGGGATATAGTAGTAGCTACAGCAATTTATATTTAATTATTAGTTATATTAGGGTATTTCTTGTTCTTTAATGTCCCAGTCACATACGGGCAGGGTCATGTCTAAGTGCACCTGCAGCTTCATCAGCAAATGGGTTTTGCTATTATCCAGCAGACACCAGGCTTCTCCATGGTGCCTTGTGCGTATCACAGGGTCCCCACGGATTGCCCTTAAATATTTATACATGTTACATTTAACACCATTACTTTCGAAATAGCCTCTGTGAAGAAAGAACTCTTACAATTTTCTTTACTGCTTTTTTTAAAATTTAAGTCAACATACTAAACGTATCAACCACAATATACCATGAATCCCATTACTGAACTTCTTGAAATCATATATATAAATTAAAGAGTATGTAGCTCAAAACCACAAAATATGCTTCTCCCACAAATGGGCTCACATTCCAGAATTTCAGAAACGTTCTCCCAGGCTTCCTGTACTCTGGGATGTTCTGCTGTTCACTGGCAGGGGACCATCATTGGTGGAAGTCATTGCAATAGGTTCAAAGGTGCATCTGAAACACCCTCTTGTGTCATCTCACCTTACAGAACATTACAGTTGGAAGGCCAAATGCTACAGCAGGCCATCAGTAATAGTTGCTGAGTGAATGAATGAATGAATGTTCATTTAGTTCAAAGATTCTTGGTCTGTGATCCAAGAATTACTAGATAGATTTTAGAGGTCCATGAATCACCCCAAAATTGTGTGCAAATTACATCATATATATGCACTGTTTGGGACGAGGAAAGAAAAAGAGAGAGAGAGAATACTCCTGGTGTCACCAAGACCTGTCATCTCTGCAGAAGGTGAGACAGGTAGGGATGAGAAGGACCCAAGCCAGGTATAGCCCCATTGACCTCTGAGTCCCACGACCCTCAGCTCAGCTGGAGCTCCCTTCAGTCTTCTTCGTGGTCACTCTAGAGCCCGGAGGAAGAAATCATTTTGAATCTATAGTAGTCTTCTATGCATATGAGAACTACCTGAGGGCAGCATTACCAACCAAATAACCTCACTTGTACAAATACATGTAGCATGACATCTCCATGGTCTTTATTTACACCTTGGATTTATTCTCAGTGTTAGTAACTATGGAGGATGCTTTTAATATCCTTGAGATGCTCACCAGTCCCAAAGTAAATTTCTCCTACTCAATAAAACCCTACAATTTAAGGCATATTTCTTCAAAGAAACTCAACCCAGAAAAAATGAAAATAGAAAATCCATATAATTATTATATGGTAACAGAAAGAATCAGAAAGAAACTTAAGTTTATACATATAGATTAATAAGTCTGAGTCCTACCTACCCTACTAGCAAAAAAAGTGCATCCAATAGCCATATCCTCAGTTGTCCAGGAACCCCGCCAGCTAAAAAAGGATAAAATGACTCATTTCAGAAGAGAAGGGAGTGTCTTGTACCCAACATGGCCCGGAGTGCACCGCCTAAACCTGATCCTGCCCTACCTGTCAGAGAAGAGTGGTCTGCGGTGCAGGAGGCCTTGTAGAGACCCCTGGGGATGAACAAGAGGGGTGATCCTACTCTCTCAGGCCTAGACACAGGGACTAAGATAGACAAAACTGACCAAACAAAATCCACTTTCGTTGAGTTGATTCCAACTCACAGGGACCCTATAGGGTTTGCAAGGCTGTAAGTCTCTGTGGAAGCTGACTACCACATCTTTCTCCAGTGGAGCCGCTAGTGGTTTCCAAAGACTGACTTTTCAGATAGCAGTTGATCACTTTAAACAAAACTGAAGGACGAATAAATATAAAGGAGAAAACATCTAGGCACAACAATGAAAAATTGCTGAATAACTTAAAGGAAGCCTGAGGGAGGGGATATGGACACATCTACAACCAAGATGTAAAAACACACATCTACTGAAGTGATGGAAATCAGAACACACAACTTTAAGTAACAAAAAATGTCAAATTGTAATTTTATTCTGAGTAGATGTCATTTTAAAGGGTAAGTGATAAAGACTTTCAATTTATTTAAGATAAACAACAATAAAAGAAATTCTAAAATTTCTACCATATGAAAGAAGATTATTCTAGATGGCAGGATCATTTCTGTTTAAAATTCTATGGAGTTTCTAAAAAATTAATATATCCAATTTCCAAGTACAGGATACCAGGTCAATTTAAAAAAATCAATTGTATTTCCATGTTCTAGCAATGGACAATTGGACACTGAAACTAGCAAAATACCATTTACAGTGAACTTCAAAATTATATACCTAGGGCTAGATTTATCAAAGTGTATGCAAACCTCCACAATGAAAACTACAGAACATTCCTGAGATAAGGAAAAGAAGACCTAACTTAGCATAGTTCCATAGCATGTTCGTGGATCAAAAATCTCAATGTTGTTAAGATGTCAATTCTCCCCAAATTGATTTACAGCTTCAATTAAATTCCAATGAAAGTATCAGCAAGTTTTTTTTTTAGGTGTTTTTGCATGTTCATTTAAAAATTTGTGGGAAAATACAAAGACCTAGAATAGTCAAAACAAATTAAAATGAAAAAATAATGAATTTGGAGGACTTGCATTACCTGAGGATAAGATTACCATAAATCTACAGGAACTAAAATGTTGTGGTATTGATAAAAGAGTAGCCATCTGGAGCCAGTATCAAGCCAGGATTCCTGAGGGCAGAATTCAGCTTTGATAGATTACTGTTTTGGGAGCACTACCAGGTAGTTGGTACTTAGACCCATGTGACTGTCCAATTTTGGTGCTGCTTCCACTGCAGGAGCAGGTGACTGTCCCACAATCACAGAAGTTGCAGCCAGCTGAATCAGTACAGACTGAGTCCTGAACCCTGACAGACAGTAAGATGGGAGACAGAGAAGGCTGAGAGGTGCTGAGGTCATTGGACAAGGGGAGGAAGGTGGGTCCTGCGCTCCCAGTCCCTAGGCCTGAGGCCCAATCTCCAGTCACCTGTGCAGTGAGTAGGGAGGGTGAGGACAGAGGTCCAGGCCATGGTGGAGATGTCCACAGAGCTCTGCATCTTGAGGACCCACAGCTGGGGACTTGCTTCCCCAAGTCTCTTATGTACCCTCACTCACTCCAGGGAGAAGGAAGTTCCCATCATGCAAATCAGCCCTCTCTGCTCTTTCCTCCAGCCCTTCCATAGGCCCTGAGTCTGTACAGTCAACCTGAGTACATTGCCCTGGGTGGGGTGAGACAGACCAGGATGAGCTCCTCAGGTATCCTGCGATGTGTTTAGTTAGCAGGTAGCAGAAGGAAATGGATCAGGGCCAGATGCTGGTTTCCCACATGTGATCACTCCATAGACCCCTCAGAAACATGCCAGAAACACCCAGTGTTGGCCCAGGGACCAGATCCAACCATGTCTCCAGTTTCTCCACTGCTCTTATCTATTTCCACCTTCCCCAAATGGAGACAGCTGTGTCCTAGTTTAGCTGCACCTATCCTTATTTCTCTACTTGGAGCTTCTGCACCATGATCCATCTGCCCTGCTCACTGAGCTGTTTCTAGGAAGTCTGGCCACTCGCCCTCACTGAAGCAGATTCTCCTAATAGGCATCAGAGCAAGAAGCCCGGCATGGGAACAGGGTGGCCGCCAGCATGCCAGGCTGTACCTGAAGCCCCCTCCTCCTTCCCTGTGCCCACATCGGACCACAGCCCTCCTTTCCAGGCTGCCAAGCCCTGTTCTGGAATTCCTGGGTTCTCACACTGTGGCCTTCTTTCCTGGTTTCAGCCCACTGACCCCACCATAAAAGGAATTCTGGACTTTGGTCTCTTACTAGACAGAGGGAGATGTGGGCTCAACTGCCCATCACCTCTGTCTTGCTCTCCATTCTTATGGACCCCTGGCTGAAGCAGTCCAGTGGGAGGACAGAGAAGTTTCTCTGCATCTTCCCTTGCATGAGACTCTCATTATGATAGGTCCCAGAGTCCCTGGTCCAGAGCTCGAGTGCAGCAGCCTCTGGAGAGGCTCTGAGTCTGGGGGTTACACGGAATGAGGACTTGGAAAGTAAGCAGACATCACTGAATGGGGATCCTATCCAGTGTATTTATTGCTGACTGAAGTGGATACGTAGAGGTGACTATGTTAGAGAAACTCTATCCTCAGGTTAAGTGCCCAGAGCAGGAGGGGGCCCATCCCAGCTCTGCCTCAGATCAGACTGTGACCCCAGGTACAGTAGCCAAACACAGTACAATAGTGCATGGGACACATATTCCAAAATAGTAGCCATTGTTCATCTGAAACTCAAATTTAAATGACCTCCAGTACTTGTATTTGCTAAATCCGGGACCCTCCCCTGGGCCTTGTGCGTACCCTACCCATTGACAGTCCACTGCCTGAAAAGTGTTCACAGAGCTGTCCACAGACTCAGTAAGGTCACACAGTTAAGGATTTAAGCTCTGTTGTATGGTTTCAATTGCACTAAAGACGAACGTAGATGTAGACACACAGACACACACAACAGACTCATGAGTGCATGGCATCCATGACCTGCTGATGCACGCAGACGCTTACTGGGAGGTTGCGGAAATACCGGAATCGTTGGTCACTTCTGCTGAGTGACCAAAGGCCCAGGAGAGAGTGGAGGAGGGGGAGGTGCTTTTTATAATTTTTAATGTGGCATCTTGTTCATGTTTTCCCTTTTCACAACCAGAATGAAACAGAATCAGTCAATGCCCGTTACAAGTGAGTAAATCATCATCTGAGATACAAGCAGGGTGTCTCA